AAAAAAAAGTGGTAGTCATTTAAAATTAGTGGCTGTCTTTAGCTTGTATGCACCGTAGAATACTTATTTTGTCGTGTAAATCTAATTAAAACTCGACATTTGGTACCGGTAAGTTCTTAATATGAAACAGATAACGGATCCAAGGTCTAGTGATTGTCTTCAGCCAATTAGGTAACGCGTAATTTGCCAAGAATCAGGATGCAAGTTTATCTCATTTAAGTTGGGCTTACGAGAATTTTAGTCTTTTTTTTGTGACATTGTTGCGATTTGCACTACGCCAAGTGCATATAACTTATATAAAGATCTACATCTTATTGTTATTTGCAACAAACACGGTTACAATAGTTATTAATAAATGTTTTTAAATATTAATAGTTATTAATAAATGTATCATAACCAAAAAAAATAAATATATATATAAATAATCGAATTATAACAGCCTGCCACATACGTAACGTAACTAATAAAAAAAAACTTAAAGGCACGATTTAATTGGATTAGCTAATACAAGGTGTTACATCACAGTTTGTTACAAATAGACTTATTTTAAAGTTTAGCATTACTATTTGAATTGTTTCTTTCGATTCCGATTCCAAAAAGTTTATTAATTGTTAAATAATTCAAATAAATGTCATCCTTTCGAAAATCTCCGGTTTCAAATGGTGCTAGAACAGATGACTCGGTTTTCGTAGGAATAGATAATGATAATGATACAGAAAGAAAAGATAGAGATAAAAGAATTATTACGTTATTGGTTCTTGCTCCTCTATGGACTCTTATATTTACCATAATTCCGGTTATCGTCAAAGTTAGAGGCATTGGTGCCGATATTTATAGTATGTAATTTTTACGTTATTCATTGAGTTTTTATATGAATGTAACAATTAGTTTTTTTTTAAAAAAAAAAAAAACATTTTCTCCTTTTCATTTTCATAATCACTTAACAGGATTTATTGAACCAATAGTTTCATTACCACTAAACTATTTTATTTTGGCATCCTCTCATGTATTTGACAATGATAATAAACCTTTTGGTATTTCGATTATCTTCATTATTATTTATTGTTATTCAACTTAAATTGGCTAACCTATTACAAATAAAGTTTGGGGCTTATCTGAACGTGGATTTTTAAACCTGTGGTTTATGATCGGTGCTGCATTTTATGCACAAGGTAAATAAATGCTTTTAACTTTGTCTTTACCTAAAAATATATAATATATATATATATCATTATTAAGGTGCCGGAATGCATTCTACTGCAATCCTCGCAAAGCATTGGCTACAAGATTTAATCGATGAAAATCCTCAAGTTGTAGCATCATATCCTGCCGTGAATGATATGCTATATTATTTTCAAACTACTCTTGAGCATGTGGTAAGTATTCTAAAATTTTTTTATCATTTTGTTCAGAATCTCTTTTTTTTTTAAAAAAAAAAAAATGTTTAATCAACTTTTTTGAAAAGATCGGCCATTATATGTACGCCTTCGGTTCAGTTATAATATCCTGGTCACATTTATTCGCTTATCGACATCAAATACACAAAGAAATTCAATCCAAGAGTAGATTAATCTTTTGGATATTGGGCGGGCTGATTTATTCTCTTATTTTAGGAGGCGTAGCTATTGAATTTCCAAAAGGCACTATTGTTGGATTAGCCTATGTTCTGATAATAGGTATTCCATTAGGAATTTATTTATTTAAAACTGGTGATTTATTGACGAAAGGTAAACGATTGGTACTCCAGTCTTATCTCATTGGGTATATTATTGGTTTCATCATAATCATTATTTGGGTGATTGCAGTTGGTGGATTTAACGATAGGAAGAGTGCCGGAATTCTAAGTAATTAGGATCCGGTGATTATTGTAAAAACTTGTTATTCTAACTGAAGTTAAATCTTGAACTTTAAATTTTTGGGAGTGTTTTTTTAGGTTAGGAATAGGATTTGGGCTAGAGTTGTTGATAAGAGTATGTGAACTTTATATGTTCATATACTCAACTAAAAATCACGAATTTCAGCTTTGGTTGCCATACATATTAATCTAAAATAATACCAATATTCCATTATTAATTATGTAATAATAATTAATCATCAACTATTAGGCTTTGTCTTTCTAAGCCAAAAAAATTATCTACTTATTCTTGACGAACTCTTTAAATATTAATTTTAAAGCTATAGTTCTTAATACAATATTT